TGGCAGATGCAAATGACAAACTCGCTAGGCAGAGTTAGTCTTATAGGTTTGCAGAATACTCCCTCAGAGCACTTTGTCACAGCAAGACCGCCTCGCACATATGTCCTGCTGAGCAAATGAGCCATGGACAGACTTCATAGGCCACTATATGCTCTTTGCAAAAACATTTGCAAAGTGGTAATTCCTGTGCAAATTGCAGAGTTGTTCTGCAAACTCCCCCATGAGCTCTGCACTCAGCCTGGCAACCTCAAGACCAAAGTGAAGTTGTCTAAGCTACAAGATATGATATGGCTAATCAGATGTTGGTCTCGTTGTGCTCATGATAAGACTGTGCCCTTTGATCCCATGGAAGTGGAGAACAACATGTGGTCTCATGATCTATGGGCCATTGATATGGCAGAGGGTGAATTCGCCATCACCATCCATGCCATTGTCGTGCCGATGGCTAGCATGGTACAGAGTGTTTCAAGGAAATGTAACCACTCCATGCCCCAAGGGGACCCCTTGCAGGGGCTGCAACTTTGGCCATTGTGTTTCTGGACATGAGCCATTGCTTTTGCAAGCATCAGCCTAAACGATGGCCATCATTGCCACCACAAAGACACACGATCGTGTTGGAAAACGTGGCTCAAGTGCAAGTGGGCTCTGCATGCCACAGCAGTGATAGCGATGTCCATGCCCCTCCCATCAGCCTCCCTTGAGCACACCCACTGCCTCAAGGTAGGAGGCCAAACCCACATGTTGGTCATGCATTTTATTTGACGCAGCTGAAACACTATTTTTGTCTCAGGCTGGTGGCGTTAATATAAATTCAATCCTTGAATTTCATGGGAATGGTGTGCTGACCTTGACGTGTGACAGTGTTGGAATCACCCCTGTTTGAGTTTGATGGGATCCAACTCAAAAATACCTTGGCAGCCTGAGAAAAGGGATTGGGATCTTTGTATTTGGGCAGCTGGACTTGTGACCAGCTTGCCCTCCAGCGTGTTGCTTGGGGGTGGTTTGTAATTGATTCCTTGCGTGCCTGCTCTCTCTATAGTCCCAAAACCGTAGTAAAGCGCTTTGCCTGTCTCACCACATCATGAGTCGGATGCCTCATTCACACCTGTCTCACAGCTCTCATTTCTCATTTTTCACAAACCTCACGTCACAGAGTTTACTACTATGCAAGGCTTCTGACGTGGATTTTAAAGACAAAATTCCAACCCCCCTTGAGATTGGGATCTGAGCATGTAATATCTAACATAATACTAACATTAATACTGGATACTAGACATTAGATCTGCTGGAAAATGCGCACCGATCGGCTGAGCGCCTTGGGCGAGAGTCTCCGCAGCGGGCCTCCAGGGGATCGCCGACTGCCCTGTGACGGGCAGTCGAAGGGGGAAGCCGGCGCCCTTTGTCGCCACATGTTCCCGTGTGGGTCAAGCCCAACGTCCTGGCGCCCCAGCAAGGAAGCCGGTCAGTGGGTCAGCAGGTCAGCGGGTCGCGGGTTGGTAAATGGCGTCGCCCGTCGAGGTGCCCGCGTCGACAAATCCAGGAATAGGAAGATCGCTCCAGTGTGGGGCGGATGGGGGCGAGGATCAGAAGCGGCCGTTTTTCAGTGGTGCGCGCCCCCCGAACGGGTGTGTCCGCAGTGGTTAAACGGCCGGGGCGCTGAGGCGATGCCGGAATGCGTGGGTCGGTATCGGCGGGCTCAGCATCAGCCGCGACGGCAGAGGGGAGACTGACTCAGCCAGCTTGTCGTTGGGTTTGCCGAATGGACTTGCTGTACAATGAAGAGCCCAGGACTCGAGGATGGTTGCCGATTAAGGGGGGAGGAGGGGACGACTGATCCAAGGAACTTCCGGAGGGGCCAATAAAAAGTCCGCACGGCACCCGTCGTTGACCGCCGGTGCACCCAGAGGCCGGCAAACGCGGGGGCATCGGGATAGTGAAGTGGCAGCTTCGGGCAGCCGCTCCCTGCCCCAGTTTGCGATCGCCGGATGGCCGTCCACAACACGGGTCCAGCACGGCGGATGGTCTGTTCGGGGCTTGGAGCCATCGCGTCCCGCGGGCGTGGGGGTTTGGGGGGCAGGGCCACTGGAGACCCACTTTCCAGCGCCAGGCGCGCCCACCCGTCCGAAATCACGACCCATCGACAGAGTAGAGAGGCAACCGGCCTCGCGCACCTGTGCATTTTGTTGGTCCCGGGGGGTGGCGGCAGTGCAGAGAAGTGTGTGGCGGCAAGCCGCTACTTGAAATGAAGAGGCCCACGCGAGTTCAGGGAGCACGTGATGACAGCCCGTCCCTCCCCTCTGCTGGTGTGCGGTCTTCCTGTCACACCTCTGGCTCACCCAAATGGTGCGTGACATCACCGGCGGCCCGCTATCAGGAATCTGTTTGTGATGGAGGCCGACCCTGGAAGCTGCCAGACATGCCGGCGCCCCCGTGAACCTGTCGAGGACGACCGACCCTGGGACCTGTTGGAGACGACTGAGCCAAGGATGATGCCGGCACACAATTACTGGCTGCACCAAATCGGTGACTTTTTGCACTAAATCGGTGACTGCTTGCACCAACTCCCTCCAAAACTTACCTAACCTAAAACCTAAACCCTAAACCCTAAAACTAAACCTGCCCTAAACCTTACTCTAACCTACAACTCACCCTAAACCTAATACTGAGGTTAGGACATAGTGTTCACGTGACTTGGTGCAAGCAGTCACCAATTTGGTGCACGCAGTAATGTTATTTGGATGATGCCGGAGAGGCGTCTATTCCTGCCGGCGACGCAAAAAGAACAGCGTTGAGACAGCTGATTCGGTCAACGTCATGTCCAACCGAGTGTTGTGTAAGTGGGTTGTGACGGCGGAGGCAGAGGTTACGGCATCGCCTGCGAAAAAGGAACAAATCTTGTCGTAGTATGCGGCATCAATGCGCAGCGCCCCGCCTCTCCACCACCCCAGGTACCCCGGTCAGATTGCCGAATGAGCCAAACGTTCATAATCGGTAAATTTTGAATTGCCGCCATGACGATTGCAGGGAAAGTTGGATGCGTCACCGGCACTGTATTGTTTTCTACTCAAGCAATAGTGGCCACAATCAGCACGAGGCGCAAGGCACGCGCCGAAATGGAACACCCGACACCAGTGCCCATCGGCAGAAGGCCACTGTGCATTCTGTGAAGCTGAAACCTCGGCATCAGGGACCCATAATGTCACGCGCCCTCCAAGGCCAACTGGGCCTCAAACAACCAGGTGTCTGTGTAGAAGGACAAATTGCTCGCCCCTTCCTACAGGGATGTTTGGCTTTTGGAGGCACAGTTGCAAACTTGGCCATCGCCAAGCGCGAACTCGGCTCTGACTTGTGAGTTGACAACAAGCAGCGACCGCGGAGCTCCACAGAGTGGTGACCACAAGAATCTCAGCACTGGGCACTGGCATTCACGACGCCACAACAGCCATTGATAACTGCTTCAACGCTCACTAGGAAAAAAAGGGCCAAGCAACTCATGCACAAAAGTGTACAAAGTTCACGGGTTTGTTTTTTTTCGTGTTTTCAGCTAGCAGAACACTGATGAAATGCATACACATGTGTTCCAAAAAAAATGTTATTTGGTCCTTTTTTGCTAGTGGCTTCTTCCTTCCACTGGATGCAAGCAAGGGTGTCACTTCCAGTACTTAACGCCTTCCCGCAGCACTCTGCCACTCCAGCATGCTGCGCAGCATCGCGTTCTGCGCCAGAACGATGCACCGCGCTGGAGTATCGGTATGCTGCGACGCACGTCGGTTGGCTGTGTCGTCATAGACAACAACTTGCAGTCTCCTTCTCATCACTGTTTCACCGGCGACCTGCACTCCGTCCCCTCTTGTCGTTTATGGCAAATTTCGCAGCCCCTTCGTTCGAACCTCGTCCGCACGGGGATCCACTTCATGCTTTTGTCTCATCCATTCCTTCCTCGTCGACCGTTTCCAACGTAAACTATTTTCGGCGACCTGTACAGTTGTATTCGTAGTGAACGCCTGTGCAGCAGTACGCCTGTGCCAACACGGCGCGCTGAAGTCGCCCGTCGAGTGTGCGTGGTCGTCCCGCGACTGCCATATCTGTCGCCATCGAGCCGACCTCGGCGGCACTTCATTCATTAGTCATGTTACCCCGTTCCGGAAGTCGCCGACATCGCCATCCCGCTCCCCATGGAGGAACGAATCTGGCCGTCAGTGCAGCGACGGTACTTCTAGATGTACCGTTGCATGCCGGCACCTTTTCAGGGCGAGTGCCACATGCAAGCAATGTAAAGGACTTATACTGGCATATACCGGTACGGTGGCCACTTTTCCCGACAGCGGATTGGTTATTTCTGCCGTACTTAGTGGATGCGACGCGAGCAGCGCCCCAAACACGTTGTACGCATTGTTGTTCGAACATGTTGTACAGTTTGTTGTCCAGCACGTTGTGCGTTTGTACAGGGTGTCCATAGCGCCCCGGCCGCCAACGCGGGTCCTCTCGCCGACTTCTCGACGGGATGCCACCCTCTGGCTACTGACGGGCGGCGCCGCGGCTCAGCGCCACGCCTTTCGTGCGTATGCCGCCGCCCAGCCCGCCGCCAACACTTCCCCAACCACCCTCACACTGCGAGGTACTGTCGGTACCTCGCCGACAAATACGGTGGCAGACTCCACGCCCCTCAAACCCGGGCAGCCTAACAAAAAACCCCGCTCCCATCCCATCCACGCCCATTTTCAACCACCGAGCGCCAGGTGTTCTCCGTGCGCGACCCTCCCAGTCAGCCACTCCACTGTCCCGCCGCCGCCGACTCCCCAACCCCCCTCACATCCCATCCTGTCGTATTCACACTCTCAATCCCCCCTACCCACCCATTCTCAAACCAGCCCCGTCCAGGCGTCCTGCCGCCCCACAGCCGTGCAGTGGCCGCCCATGCGCGCACAAAATGGCGCCCCCGGCAGGCGCTACGGCCCTGAACTCTCCCCCTCCCCCCCGCCCCCCCGCCCGCAGCAGCTATGGTCCCGAAACTCCTCTTCGCCCTCCTCCTGCTGGCATTCTGGCAATGGCACGGATGCAGCGCATTCTACCTATTCCACAAGCACAAGTACCACCGGTCGTCGCCGGCGGTGCCACCCCCGCCGAGCCCGCCGGCCGCCCCGTCGCCGCTGCCGGACCTGCCTCCGGCGCAGTGCCCGGGTATGGAGTTCGCCGGTGAGTGACATGCAAAATGCTCTCTCAGCCCCCACTGGCGTGGTTACAGCCAGACCCCAACCACAACCCCACGCCTTCCCACCCCAACTCTTGAGGGGGGTGGCCAAGCGCCCTTTCCGCCCCCCACCCCCACCCCCACCCCCACCCACACCCACACACACCCTGTCGGCATGCGTGCAAACAGCGCCTTTTCCCCCTCCCCGCTTTTGACCCAGTGGCTGCCCCATCTGCCTCCAACGCGGTGTCCAGGGATGAATCTCCCCACCCACCCACCCCTATGTTGGCCGTGTCCAAAGCTTGGGCCGTCCGGCGCCCATGCATCCAAAACGGGGCTCCCATGAACGTCCCGCTCCGGCGGTGAGGGTAGGCTGGCCGCCTCGTTGCGTTGACCGAGCGTTTGACTGTGAATTGACTGAACGTTACTGACCCGTGTGTGTGCCCCCCGCGGCCCAGAGCTCGTGGCGGTGGAGTGCGGCCGGCAGAAGCCGTACCACCGCTGGTCACTCCTCGGGAATCATCACTACTCCCAGCCGTCCATGGAGTGCGAGCGCGGTGAGTGCCCGGAGGGCGGGATTCGACGCCCACAGTACATTCGACCAACCCTGCAGCAACGAAAAGATACTTAACTGCCCAGGAGGTTAGCTTGGGCGGCGCTGGCTGGGCAGGTGGTCGCCAAAGGCCGATCGGCTGTCGGCGGGTGCCCCTTGAATCTGGGTTGCATCTGGCGGTGGTTGCATCGATGCGGTCGCCGGCGGACGTCTTGAAATGCGCCGAACCCAAGAGTGGCTTCATTGTTCTCGGATACGGCCATGGTTGTGTCGTCCGGGAGGGCTACGACCGCGTTTGCTCGGATCGAGAGAAGGGAGTCTGGATCGATTGGGGCGATCCCCTTTGGGGGCGGGGTGGGTGGGGAGGCGTGTTATGGCCAAAAGGGGTGACCCTGCTGCGCGAAACGTCGCGTGAGTAGTCGCGAAGCGTCGCCCACGGCGTTGACTGGTCAAGGCGGTCGTCACTGACCGCGTCGCATCTGCACATCCCGGGGCGCCGCGACGCGAGCGGACGCTCTGCGCCTGGGCTTTGGGCTTGCCGTTGTGGGCGGTCTGGATGAGTCATTACCTGTCAGCCGGGCGTTTCGTGGGAGAGTACCGAGGGGAGGGGAGGGGAGGGGAGGGCCGTACTGCTTCCGCCCAATTGGGAATGGCAGGGGGACGCAGATTGGGAATTCGGGGCGGTGCACGGTATGGAAAACGCGGAATTAGTTACGCGTTACCTATTGTGCATATGCGAGCATTGATGGGGTGCGGCATGTGGGACCTGGACGCAGTTGACCCGTCCCATTAATGCTGCTGTGCTTTTGCTGAAGCAGCCTCATGAATGTCAACATGTGTGAATATTACAATGATGTTCGAGCATGCATCATATTTGCTTGCTGTTTCTCGTGGGCGGCTTCCATGAGGGGTAGTGATGGGATGGATGCAGCTCGCGACACCACCGGCGCTCAGGTCAAAAAGATCTGTTGTTAATATTACTATACCTTTTGCTCTTTATGTCAAAAAGCTCTCGGCAAAGCAAAGGAAGAGACACAGAACGAGTCTCAAGGGTTGTGCGCATCACATTGTTCATTCACTGCAGTACCCTCAACTCGATGGTCACTTCGCTGCAGTGGCAAATTCAGAGAGCTGGCGAAGAATGCCGGGCTCGTGCGCCGGTTGTATGATCACAGTGACAAGGTGGCAAGAAACAGCGTGTTGGCACTGCCAACTGCCTTGCCATTTCGACACAGAGCAGTGCCATCATAGTGACTGCGATGGCATCATTCGGTGCCAAATGGCATTGCAGTTCGCATGGCCGGATTGGGGTTGTCTGTGGCGACAGCAGCTCAGCAGCTCAACGGCACATACACCGCCCTACCGCTGCCATACATTATCACACATGTGGCACTGGTACAATCGGTGCATTTCCACACATGCTGCCCAACATTGCCACTGTGTTGTTGATTGGCTTTAAGCTGGCCATCATTGCCACGACAGTGGATAGGCTGGAGTTGGCCATCCCCACAGCGCTGACACACCGATGCCATGATGATGTCCCAAGAATACATGAGCCCCTTTGTCTGCCTTTCTGTGAAGATCCCTTCTTCTTCCACTGACAAGGCAAACGTGCATCAGTGGGTCAGTAGTTTAGGGTTCAGGGCGTCAAAACAAAAAGGGATCTTCACGGAAAAGACAGCAACTAAATTCATGCCACGAATTGCTGGCACGTCGCTGACTCACGAGGGCTGTGGTTTCCAGACGTCACCTCGCGGGAGTTGCAGAGGAATGTGCTGTCCACAAAGGACGTGCAGTGCGTGGCCCAGATCCTGATTCAGACGCATAGTGTCTCTGGCATCGAGGCCGGCTTGCGCATAGACCCCAACTTCAACTTCCTTGCCAACTGCGGCACCAGGGAGCAGGACCCCGACGTGGTGGCACTCAAGGGCATCGCACTGGGAATCCTGGAGGGCGTGTGGGAGGACAGCGAGCTGGTGGACAAGATCGTGGATGGGGTCGTCCCGTCTTTCACACCACCGGGTGAGTTGGAAGACTGACATGAGACTCAGCACTTGCAGTGCCCACTTGCGTCACTACTTCATGAAGGGGTGCAATAATATCTCGACTTAGGCAGAAGTTGTACAAGGAAGCACTGTAAAATACTGAGTCTTGGACCACTTTTCCCAAAATTTCTTTTGGGGAAGTAGAGCACAGTGTTACATTTCCCCAAAAGGATTTTTGGCAAGAAGAAAAGCACATGCAGTGGTTGAATGCGGGTTTCTGTGGCAAGAAAACGCACATTCAGTGAATCAAGTTATGGATTTTTTTTTTGGAGGAGGGAGCTGGCCGTGCGAGTTTGTTGGCAAGGTGCTCTGCCAAGGCGTAACAGTGGTGGAGAACGCCGCCAAGATCAGGGCCTGGATTTTGGACTTGATGCCATTGGAGCCTTGTTTACATTGTTGACATCATGTTCAATATTCATGCCTTAAACTTTAAGGTCACCTCAAGTTTAATTTACATTGTATTAAACTTACGTACAGTTTTGGATGTGATTGGGGGTTCTTCAGCAATCTGCCGCTCCGCTGAAGCACAAGAAGAACGTGAACAAAGTGAATAATTCCTGGCCGGTGTCATGATTCTCACTTTCCTGTCCTGTATCCATAGCATGGTGCAACATAGCACTCTCTCAGGCAACATTTGCACCGTTTTCTCTCACCCTTGTAGTTTTCACATTATTACTACTGCAGTAGCTGCCATTATAATGGCCATTGGAACTGCTGTTAGTCAAGCTAAATTATTCCTTGTTGCACGTACCCTTTACCTATGTTTACATACAAATTATTGTAGCGAAACATGCACAGTGTATCTTTGACATCAGCTCATTGCTTCTGTTCTTCACGCACAGGGGAGAACGAGAATTGGGCCGAGGCAGAAGACAACCGCATGAGGGAACATATGATTGACAGAGACGCGTTCTTCAACAAGCTGAACAACTTGGACTATTTGCTCAAGACATTTCTAGAAGACCCAAACAGCAGCGTGAGTGCAGTCAACTGGCCTGCAGCAGCGACATCAATACAATTAACGTTTGAAATCACGTGAGGTGTATGTGGCAAGGATAATGAAGAGTAGCAAGTGACGGGTGCCTATGCTTTCTCAGTCCCACCTTAGTTGCTGTTGATGCTGGCGATGAATTTCCACTCACCACACCTCAGCCCTGCCTTTGCTAGAAAGATGGTTCAACGACTGGAAGTGCATTTTAGCAAACTTACACAGAAACGGTCCCAGCAGGTGATGTATGGGCTGAGGAATGACCAATTTCCATAAAATTAGTTGTTCATTCAGGCGAATGATGCATGCACTGTAATGCGAACAACTGCTGTTCCATGGTATCAGATGTCGTCAGTGCAGCAACACAAGGGCAACCGATGTCGGGAAGTTCCCAAGCCAGCAGCTCCCCAAAAGTTTTGTGCGAGTCACACAGAGTGTGCCATCAGATGTAACTTGGATCGGCACAGAAGGCAGTTTCACGAGCCCCTGTTGTAAAACGATGGTGTTGAAGTGGTGGATGCCAGCGGCCATCAGCAATCTAATCAAAATCTGCTCTGACTTTATTCGTCAGTACTTTGTATGCATGCCAGGCGACTGACCGATGTGCGATTGAAATTCGATTGAAAGACGATTGACCTCATCAACGACTCCATGAACTTTGTCTTTTCCTCGGACAGTGCGATTGGCTCGCTGCTCAGTCGGGCTCGTCCACATTTCTGTTGTCTTTTTCCTTCTTCTATCTTGCCTGCATTGCCAAATCGCACAGGTGCATACTCGTGTTAAAGGTGCACCAGGCAGCTTCACCTTAACCGCGTGTGTCTGGAGCCTTTCCAATCGTGCAGTTGCTTCACTGTTATTAGAAGGCACCAAACAGCATAGGCTTGAACATGCGCGCTTGTTGCCATTCTTTCTTTGCCCAAGTGCTGACCCTCCGTTCCCCACCCCACAACAGCCGCCATGCACTGAAGCCACCCCGAGCCTGCAGCCGCAGTCCAGCCGCCGGCGAATGCTCGAAGACCGTGTCGCTGTCTCGTCGCGACGACCGCTGGACGAGCCGCTCGTCGGTTCGTCCCCTCGTCGCCTACAATGCGCCGACTGCGACAACGCCGATAGCTACCCCTGCGCCTATTGCTGGCAGGAGGACGTCTGCTCCGACTTCTACTGGTGCCAGGGATAGCTGACTTCGTTGGCCGTGCGTTGACCAAGCCAATGGGTGTTAACTTTACGTTGACTTTGCGTTGACTTTGCGTTGACTTTGGCGTTGTCTATGTTGCCTGGCTCTCCCGAGGGCCGTGTTCGCGCTTGTGGCATCTGTGCTGCGGAGGCGCGATGTGACCTGTCGGGTGCCTTTTGTTTTAGTCAGAATGGTCTCAGCGGATGACGTCAGCGGTGGGCGCGCCTTAAGTCCTGAGGCCAATGGGTCCCCCCGAGGGCCTTAATTTCCAAGGTCAAGATTGGCCTTGGTGAAGGTAGTCGGGATAGTTATAACTAAACTAGTTAATTACTTGGTTGGCTAGTTTGCGCCAGTCTTAGTGTGCCAGGTTTGCGCTGGAGATGGAGAAGCAGGTGCAAGGGAGGAAGCGGAAAGCCGAATGCGAAGGGCCATTAGGCAGGATAGTTTTGGACATTTCAGTAGTGTAGGTTATCATTGTGCATCCAATGGTGTCGAGCTCCGCTGATGCACCTGCCCGCCATCTCCACAATACTTCAATATAGTCGCATTCTCAAATTTTCATCTGGGGATTCAATTTCGAAGGTTCGGCCTTTTGGGAATTTTGAATGTCGCAATTTCGAAATTCAATCCAGAGACCAATTTTTCGATCAATTTGTTTCAGCTGTTGCTGAGGTTCACAGTTTTTCACGTTGTTTTGGAATAGCAACATTGCCGGTTTAATAATTATACAATCGGCCTGAATTGTACAACGAAAAATTTGTAAATTCTGTCCGTCGACTGCCGTTTGGATCTGGTGAGCCTGACGCGAAGTGCAGGGCACAATTCAACGAGGTGGTTTCGCTGTACTCAATGTCAATGTTGCTTCATTGTTGATAATATCTTCGGCAATAATTCACTGACTTAACGCCGGGAACATTGCTGCTTGTGGTATTGTCAAAGCACGGGGGGGAAGTATCTGCTGCAGTGCCGCTGAAGTTCTAACGCCTGTTCGAGGAGAGCAGCAAGATGGCCTGGCAATTGGTGGTTTGGAGCGCCAATCGCGCATTACTTTCCAAAGCTCACTCGACGTGCTGACCCAGGTCATGCTCTATTGTTCGGGTCGCCAATAAGGGGCTCATCAGAAAAGTAGTACATTAATTATATCACCCGTGGCGACCCGTGAGGTGCAGATATGGTGCTGAGGGGATGTCGACAACCTCAGCACCTCCGCCGCACTGATTATCATCCAGCTTGGCGTTCACTGAGGCTGAAAACCCTAAGTCATCAGCAAGGCGTGCTACACAATTTTCTAGCGTTGCAAGGCCCCATGGTATTCAAAATGCAAGAAGAAGACTTCAATGACAGACACAGACTGCCACAGCCTCCCCATACGGCCAAGGAGTCCAAGGCCATACAGGAAAGATGCTGAACACAATGCCAGTACGTGGCAACGCATCACACAGGGACACATGAGTCAGACAGGCCTGGAAAATGCCACGCAGTACTGAGGAGCTGCTGGTTGCTTGTGGACACGTGCGTTTGCTCAGGGGCTGCCCGCCTGGCGGTCTGCCATGCACCTTGTTGAGAGGGAGCCAGGAGGCGCGTGTGGAGGCGTCATGTGGTTGTTCAGTGGGATTATGGCCCGTAGGACATTACGTGGTTGCTGATCGCAGGCAGTGGGGCATACTGGGTTGAGTTGTAGTGAAGCGGCGGGTGTGGCAGAAAGATTGCGAGTATCAAAAGAGCATCTCTGAGGAATGCGGGGCATTTGCCAGAGTTTGGGAGGTTACAAGTACTGAAGGCGCTGGGAGCGCCAGGGGGTAACTTTGTATTACTGCACTCGGGCTGGCAGCTGTGAGAACGTCGGGGTGGCGTTCGTGTGTGCATCTCACAGCGGTCTAGGCACTCAGCCTAGCTGCCTGACTCCCCTGGCTCTGTACGCAACGTTTGCCACGGCCTAAGCGCAATGGCGCTCGACCTTTTCGAAGGTCGTGGTCACTTTGTGCCGTGTCTGAACCGTTTCCCTTGATGTTCAAGACCAGAACTGCCGGGGCGGTCGTGCTGCCAGCCGGAAGTGAGCAAGCTTCGTTGCTGCACAGCGTCGTCGAGGAGGAAAGAAGCATTTTCTCTGTATTGTATCGCTGCGCTGTGGACAAGGCTGCCTTGACCCGTGGGGCCGACAGGTGCCCTGATCTTACCGACCTTTAGGGAGTGGCTGCGACCGGTCGTGGCGCTCTGAGGTGCAGCTG